GGGATTGGTCTAACCTGAAAACTCCCATATTTCCGGTGGCTGCAAAGAAGGGATTTCCATGGATCCGTTCCCTACCCTCTATTAGTGAAACATGACACATGTTAGAGTTTAACTAAACCGAAACTCAGCCGGTAAAGTCGAAATATAAGTTGCGAAATAGTTGCGATTCTCGTGGAGTTGCGTGTTCGTTGTGGTACCTTAAAAGGAGTGTTTACGGGTCTTTTTCGCACTTCTATTGGATATTCCCTAGCATTTGGTTTTATTGTTGAAAATGCCCACCCCATCCCTTAATATGAAGTCTCTCTCTGAAAGTATCAATAAAGTCAGGGAGGATATTGAGTATGTGACAAAAAATTCTTACATTTTTAAGGTTTGCGGTTTCCGAAATAGAAGGCATGGAGTCTTTGCTAGACCGACTGCTTTCTGACTTCGATCCTAACGACAGATCATCCGAAAGGAAGGTGCGCTCTCTGGAGAGTCAGATTGAAGTTAAAGTACGTCATGCTGAAATTCTGAACTTACGTTAATTTCTCTTTCTTAGATGTCGCTTTTGGACACTCTTAGGAAACGTGAAAATGCTCTTGCATACCGTTTAAGTTCTCTTTCTCAATTGCCGACTTCTGAACTGACAGGTGTGTTTCTTGTAAACAAGTGAGAACCGGTTAGCATTACTTATCTCGCACCGATCCTAAAAAAGTTGCATTGTTATTTGTTCCTGCGACCCTCTTCTGGGTCTTCGCTTTAATTCAAGCCTTGTCGAAAAGCATTATAATAGATACTCCTTCAATATGTTTACTAGTGCTTGATATACTCCTTCTTAGAGTACATTCATATTTTCTTTTGGAGTTTAGTATTGACCCATAGGGCTGAACTTACTGAATGAAATTTAAAATCCTCGTTCTGTGAAATTCTGTGGTGTTTTGTGTTGCATTGTAGGCGCTATCGCCTATATAGGTCATGATTTATTTCCAATGGTAGGGTGCTGAACGCTGTGGGTGAAGTGACAGAAGAAGTAAATATCTTTTGTTACCCGGCAACTCAGGCGTATCAGCACCAGCTGTAGTTAAAGAATTAAATCTTAAATGACAACAGACATTCGTCAAGTTTTAGGTCCGGGTTAATAAAGGGAAAAGTTTGAAATGTATCGGACTCATTAGCAGATCTTGTAGATGAAACCGTTTGCCCCAGAGAACCCCTCCATGACAACATCAGTAAGGTATATTCCATAAACTGTTTGTGTTTTATCGAGTACTAAAACCTTCCTTTTAGTGTATTGGATTGATCGTGTGTCAGTGTTTATTTGCCGAAGTGCCAGTTAACCTGTGATGGAACTGTAGTATTAAAAATATATTTTCGACTTACAGGGAGGCTTTTTAATATCTTAAAAACTTGTGACTCCAAGAAGACATTGGCATCAGATCAGGGACCATAAGAGCGAATTACTGTTAATACCGTACACAAGAATACTTTATTAACCTATACTCGTTGGGGAACACCTGTTTTCTTATTTGAATGTGAGTATGCTGTTAAGTCGTTCAACAGTATCTGATTTTCAAACACTCCTTCGATGTTTCGGGCTTATATTACCTCAAGGCGATGATCTGACTAAATTGAATTCATTATCCGGAGTGCTCACATCAACCGGGTGTTGTTTAACGACATGGTTGGGTGTTGATCGTGGACACAGCGCCGTATTGTGTATTGCTTCAGCCGTTCTTTGGATAGTTGCCTCACGATATGAAGTGGATAGTGTATTTTTGTTTACCTCATGTTATTTCTAGAGCGATTGTTTTAAAAAATCTAAAGCATCTTTCCTCCCACAGTGTCCTTACTCCCGCACTTAACTTTTTTTCGTGACCGATGTACCCTCGCTTTATTTAATGCACATTGGTCGTATCAGTAGCAAAACCATGTGACTGTTTCCATTTGCTTTGGGTATGTGTGTCTATCAATGCCAAGTCTTCCTTAATCCCTCCTATATCGCCCGTTATCCCTTAACGATTCGTTCCAACCTTAGAGATTTTTAATACTCATGTTCCTTCGTGTGTACACTACGAAGGCCTTAAAGTAGTGAAACTTTTTTATCCTATTTTTTGTCATTCGAATATTTTTCATCTTCTACATTTATATAAAATGCCCTTCTCTAAACATCCATAAATGTAATAGTTTGTGCCCTGAGCTTCTACCACACATTTTGATATTTGGTTTTGTATTGCGTCAACCGGTGGCTTTTTCATTTTTTTGTTCTGCAGAGAATGGTCCCATTCAAGAGCCTAGCCTAAGTCAAAACGCTTCTTCAAGGACCTTAAAGAAGTCTTCCTCTTCAACATCTGTCCCAGATCCGGATGTTGATCCTCGCCGTCCTCAAAAAGCTTCCTCGAAGGCCGTAAGGAAGTCTTCCTCTTCAGAATCCGTAAACGAAATCGCAAGGGCATCAATATTTGATGGTGTAGATGATGCAGACCTGGAGTTCTACAAGCGTCGTGCACGTCTCCATAAGAGGAGTGAACTACAAAAGGAGTTAAATGCCTTGGAATCAAATATGGTAATTAGTTGTTTTAAAGAATTTAAGACATTGCTAAGTACTACAACGTCATTACTGTCACCTGTACTCCTATCAAGACCTAAATTGATTAATTAGTTTTGTTATAGTTTTCGCCATAGTCTTGTATAAGTTCTTCCATGCAAACCTCTTTTGAAGTGGCATGCTACTTACATTTTTCATTCTTCTTTAGCGCTTTTCTCTTCTGAGTCAGGTTTCTCTGAAGGCTATTCACTGCCTAATTATTCGCCTTTGCCTTTAGCAAACTCCCCTCTTTCCTTGTTGGGGAGGATACACGTTCTTCTTATGAAGCTTTCCTCTTACGTTATTTCATGCCCATCAAATTTTTGAGTAGACCATTTAACCTTGCTGCTC